ATTCCCTCGTCATGTGAAGGTCTGTCTGAATTCCCTGATGAATCTGGGTTTTATTCAGATCCTGACAAGGCAAAACTTCCACTCGTTGCTGTGGATTGGATTGCGTATTATGTTTCAGTCAGCGGGATGGATTTGAGTTTGTGGGGCGTCATTGCTTTTCCCCTGCTGCTTTGCCCGCAGACGTACTTCGGCATGGACGTGTCGGCGGTGGAGGACCCCGTGCAGAGGAGGGCCCTGGAGACCATGATCAAGACCTACGGCCAGACGCCCCGGCAGCTCTTCAGCACGGCCCACATCAGCCGGCCGGGGCCTCGGCTGGTCATGGAGGGGGAGCTGCCTGCCGCGATGGGGCTGCTCGTCCAGCTGGCCTTCCGCGAGCCCAGGGAGCACGCCAAGGAAGTAGTCTACCCGGTATGGGCCTGTCCGGGGAGCACGGGCTTACCAAGACCCATCCAGGGGCTCAGCTGTGTGGTCAACGTAGCTCATCGTAAAGAGTCCCGTCAGAAAATAGAAGAAGAACAGTATCATATACGCCGGGTTTAAACCGGCTAGCCCAGCCTGTTTAAAAAGTTCTGCGCCTTTTCTGAAATTTAACTTCGAACTTAGTGATATCACTGTTGGTGTCCCTGAGCCTGTCTGCGTAGTGGGTCAGCGAATAAAGACACAAGGGCCTGTTCTGGGCTGTGTTGGTTGGCCTGTTTGTGGGGGGAAAATGGTCAAAGCCGGCAGATGTCCTGTTGTGACTGGTCGTGTCCCATCTCGTTCCAGAGCCCCCTGCCCTGGATCAAAGGGTTGAAGTGGGGGGAGTACGTGGGCTCCCCCAGTGCCCCCGACCCGGTGGTGTGTTTCAGCCAGCCCCACGGAGAGCGCTTCGGGTCCCTGCTGGCCCTGCCCACCCGCGCCATCTGCGGGCTGTCCAGGAAGTTCTGCCTGATGATGATTTACAGCAAGGAGCAAGGCAAGTCGCCAGCAGGAGGGCATGATCCCAGCGCGGTCGGGACAGGCCCTGCACTTCTCTGGCAGTCTGATCTCCTGCCCCTGGCCATTGCACTCCACCCACGTGTTTTTCTGATTAATTTTTAACGAGCATTTACAGTGCAGACATTAATTGTTTCACTCTTCAGAGCCGTGATGTGCTATACCAGCAGGTTCTCGTTATTTTTAAGGCCGAACAGAAGACATACGCACTCCTCTCTGTCATACCCTGCCTACATTTTAACAAAAGATGCTGCCCTTGATTTGAAAGCTCTGTACAATGTGCCCTAACTCTCATATTTGAGAGAGAAGTAACGTGATTCAGGTCAAATGTCAGTAACTTTCTAACAAACCCTTGAAGAGTGGCTCTTTTCTTTAAATTTGTGATGAAAGAACCATGTGATCACAGTGACTTTGAAGAACTGTTTTGACCTTCCCGGGGGTTTAAAAGCCCCAGGAGTGTTGGTTTCTTTGGAGGCTGTTGTACTGAGCCCTGGGTTTCCAGAGGCTGTTCAGTGTTGCACGACTGGGTTTCTAGCCAGTAGAGAGAGTATGAGGGCTGTGTAGTAGATGTACACGGGACATCTCCTTCTCCTGCTGTCTCACCGCCTTGTCACCCTGGCAGGTGTGCGGAGCATGCACAGCACCGACATCCAGTGGTCGGCCATCCTCAGCTGGGGCTACTCCGACAACATGCTGAGACTGAAGAGCAAGCAGAGCGAGCCGCCCGTCAACTTCATCCAGTGCTCCCAGCTGCACCAGGTGAGTCCGGACTCCCCGTCAGGCCGGCGCCACCTGTCGGGAACTGAGGGAACACGCCTCTTCTGCTGCTATAACTGCAGGGCGGCGTAGGTACCGCTGGAACAACATGTGACAACATGCGAAGCAAGAGCCATTTCCTATTGAATCTTCTTGGCAAAAGAGCAGCGTTCACTTTTAGACATTCTATAAGATTTTAAAGCAGCACAAGGAAAGGAAGTGACTAAAAGAGAAAAATAGAGCTGCACCCTCCGTGTGTGTGTGTG